CCCCCATCTCCTCTTTTTCCCTCTCGCCTCGTCTACCTCCATCGATGGATCTTCTCTCTTTCTCTCTCTCTCTCTCTCTCTCTCTCTCTCTCTCTCTCTCTCTCTCTCTCTCTCTCTCGCTCCCTTATGCACACACACACACACGCACGCACGCACGCACCCACCCACTCACACACACACACACACACACACACACACACACACACACACACACACACACACACACACACACACACACACACACACACACACACACTCACACACACACACACCCACTCACACACACACACACACACACACACACACACACACACACACCTATATATATACACATATATATATATGTATATATATTCATATTTTCTTATATACATAGGAAAACATCCACAATAAAAACAAATTAAATCGTAACGTTTCGAACCCTTGACGAGTTTCTTATCAGACAAATTATTTAATGAAATTTCGGCTGATTATTCGTCTGATGAGGAACTCGTGAAGTGTTCGAAACGTTATGATTTAATTTCAGTTCTTATTGTGGCTGTTTTAATGTTCATCTTTATGTACACGATACACACACACACACACACACACACACACACACACACACACACACACACACACACACACACACACACACACACACACACACACACACACACACTTTTCTTCCTTTTCTTTCTTTTCTGACCAACTTAACCCGTCCTTCCGCCACTAAGGCCGCCACTCCAGTTCTAATGGTGCTTGCTGTGTGTTCCAGTGCTTGTATTTGCTTTTAGAATGTTTACAAAGCGGCCAAATGTTACAAATTATAAACAGCTGATTATGTGGCGCCCCATTCGCTACTCCGTCTCGGATTCCTCGCGGTGAGAGCGCCGGCCAATGCTCCGGTTAATTCATGTCTTGGTTAATGGATTCTCAACTGAGCGAATATCATGCGCTCGCTCCTCTACGTGTTATATGGCCGTATTCATGCGAGATTTGGACACACACACGCTCACGCACGCATACACTCACACATATACACACATACCCCGCCACTCTCTCTCTATTTCTCTCTGTCTCTCTGTCTCTCTGTCTCTCTCTCTCTCTCTCTCTCTCTCTCTCTCTCTCTCTCTCTCTCTCTCTCTCTCTCTCTCTTCTCTCTCTCTCTCTCTCTCTCTCTCTCTCTCTACCTCTATCTCTCTCTCTCTATCTCTCTCTCTCTCTCTCTCTATCTATCTATCTCTCTCTCTTCTTCCCTCCCTCTCTCTCTTTCCCTCTCTCAGAACCATTCGTGTTGGAGATATGTGCATATAGATATCCACATGTTGTTAGTACATGGTAGTAGCAATTGCAGAGGACAGAAGTCACCTCAAGTGAAATGAAATTAAATATTTTCCGCTTCACTCAAGCATTTGTAAATTAGCGAATATGTAATATCATAAAGCGTTTTAAGTGTTATCAAACTGATGAGGCAATATTTTGTTTGAATTTATTATGTATGTATGTTTATATATAGAATATCTGCTATTGTTGTTTTTGTGAATAGCTCATTTTATTCTGTTATATTTCTTTCGTTATTATCATTGTTATTGTTATAATAATTATCATTACTTCTGTTATTATTCTTATTCATCATCATCATCATTATTATTATCATTTTTATCATCATTATCATTACTATTATTATTATTATTATAATTATCATTATTATCATTATTATTATCACAAGTAGTATTATTAACGTTGTGAACATTATTACTCGTACAACAGTAACAAAGAAAAAATAAGAAAAAATAGGGTAAAAAAACAGAAAGAGACAAAGATAGAGAGGGAGGGAAAGAGGGGGAGGAGAGCAAAAGACAGAGAGAGAGAGAGAGAAAGAGAGAGAGAGAGAGAGAGAGAGAGAGAGAGAGAGAGAGAGAGAGAGAGAGAGAGAGAGAGAGAGAGAGAGAGAGAGAGAGAGAGAGAGAGAGAAATTGAACTAGATATGGAAAGGGGCAGAGGAGGTCGGGTGGAGACAGTCTGACAGACAGAGAGAGGGAGGCAGAGAGAGCTGGAAACGCCTCTAATAACTAATGCACGGCCCTGGATTAGCACACCACGAGACGCAAATCACAGACGGGGGCAGGGGGGGGGGAGAAGGGAAGGGGGATGGGAAGGGGCACAAGCCCTGTGTTAACCGGAGCTTTTGAATTAGTTACATCGGTAGCGCTTAGTGTGTCAGGATGGGAGGTGGGGGGAAAGGGGAGGTAGTTAGACGGATAGGAGGGGAGGTATAGGAGCGAGCGATGGGTGAGAATTAGACCAAATTTAGGCCGGCGATGGCTATCATTTATTCCTCTTTGTGTAATGGATCATAATGTGCTGAGATCAGGTTTTATCGAAGTGTCCCCTCGTCCCGTTTTCCGTTTTCTATAAACCCTCTCCCTTTTCCAACCCCATCTATCTGTTTCCGCCTCGTATTTCCTCTGCCCCTTTCTCTTCGCCCCTCTTCTCTGTCTCTGTCTTTCCTGTTCCC